TTCATTTCTTTGCTTCTATCAAAAGCACGCTATGTGTTAATGAAGAGCACCAGTCTGCGCTCATCTCTTCTTGTTGTGCATTTACGCTTTTATCAGTTAATTATTATAGCACTGTTGTTGTGCACTGTATGTTTCCGTTACATTGTTTCATCACTGAAGCATCTCAGTGCCTTAAATAAAGTCAACAGTCTCTTGTTGTCCAGGGCTAAATTAAGCTACATAATGAAGAGCTTTTATCAGATTTGGCATGCATTTGTGCCAAGCAATTATAAGATTACAAGAAGGTTCAACGTTAAGCTTATGACGTGCAGTCTTTTTAGTGGGTGTTACATTTTTCCACTGTGATTTATTGCAAAAGGTGTCCGAGTTGTTATCTGGGAGTTGCTAAGGTGTTCTTGGTGGTTGCTAGTGAGTTACTAAACGTTTACCAAGCAAATAAAATATCTGTTATTAATAATTTTCATGTCGTATCAAAGCCCTAAGATATTCATTCATCTTCAGAACACAAATTAAGATATTCTAGAGAAATCCTCTCAGAAAGGTACACGAGTTGTCACTGGGGTGGTAACTTTTTGAAAGGTACAAATTTGTGCCTAAAATGTCCATATTAATACCCTAAGGGTATATTAGTACCTAAAAAGTACAAAAGTGTTCCTCTTAAAATTTGTAGGTACTAATATAAACTTTTAAGGTACCAATATGGACCCTTCAAGTACAAATGTGTACCTTTTGAAAAGGTGCCACCTCAGTGACTACTTGTGTACGTTTTTTTCAAAGAGACAAGAACGATGTTAGAAAAAACTGACATTGTGATATTTTTACAATATATATTGCAATATTTATTTTAATTTCCCCCTTGATAAAATGAATAGTTTTTTTGGGAAAGAATTCATAATTTTAGAAACATTTTATAAGGGGGAGAGCATAAATATATATGATATGCATCTGCATAAAATATAACACATGACATACATTGATAAATACAGTGGTCTCTCATTTATTGCAGGAGTTACATTCTAAAGATAACCCATGATAGGCGAAATATCTGTAATATAAGTAATCCGCTTTATTTTTTATGACCTGATGTGGAAAAGAAAACCTTGCTGGACAAAGACAATTGTGTTTTTCAAAAATTAATGAAAGTCTTGGGGAACTGAAAAAACACACCCCTTTAAAATGGGATTTTAAGATTTGCGAAATATTTAAGTTATGGAAAATAACATTGTTCTAATAGAGTTTATTACACTATTGTCCAATTAACAGATTCATTATAATATATAATACTGCAGTATATATCTTTCTGGTTGAGGTATTTATCATTTTCTAATATTTCACATTATGAAATTTAAAGTCACATTATAATATTTAAAGTTACACTCTAAAAAAGGCTAGGTTATTTTAACCCAATGCTGAGTTTAATATGGACTAAACAAACTGCAGGGTTAATTTTTTTAACTAAATTAAAAGGATCAAATTTATCCCAATATTTGTGTTAGTCTATCTGCATCTAAATACCACTATCTGCATACCTCGGATTATTAATAGCAACCTTTACATATATTCATGTATTGTAAATCTTTGTTCATATTTAATACAAACTTTATATAATGTTCACAGTGCTGTATCTGTAAATATCACCATAGTTTTGCACTTCATAACTTACTTTCATTCATACCTATATCCTGCACTCCTGGTTAGACCTAAACTGCATTTCGTTGCCTTGTACATGTGTTATAACAATAAAGTTGAATCTAATCTTATGTAATCTATTACGCATGTTAACCAATTTGGGTTAAAATAACCCCAAATTTCTTAGAAAGCACATTAAAATCATAATATGTGAGCTAAAGTAACAAGTACAAGAACTCATTTTGCGCTTCTTTTTAAATGAGTGAAGTTTGGCAAAAACTCCCCATAAAAAAATGTAAACCCATTGCAAAATCTGTTTGTATCTCAATTGTGAGATGATAATTAAAATGACAGTATTCACCTGCATAAAAGGCAGAAAAACCGTTGATGTGACCGTACCTTTAAGTCTTCCATAATTTAGAGCCGTCTCTTTGTGTTTGTGTTTGCTTATGTGTGCAGGCCAAATATATGATGTATGAATGTGCGTACACATGCCACAAGAATAGGGTGAAACTTGACCCTGACAGGCTTAATTATTCTCAAATTTCCCTCCAACACTGAGGTCCCATAGGGAGAAAGTCAACCCGCCTCAGGATACGACTGGGGTTAACGCCACTCCACCATGAAGACCATTTTATCTTAAAGGGAATGTATCATGAAAGTCTGAATTTTTCTGTTTTTAAGTGCTACAAATGAGTCCTTTATGCATCTGCCAACACTGTAAAAAATGCTGGGTTCCACAAGTTCTTCATGTTGTCTCAAAACAAATCGATTAGGATGACTTTTACAAATACATTTTTACAAGTTTAGGTGGACTGAACAGAAAACAATTAAGTTGTCCCCCAAAAAACCTTAAGTATTGTGGTGTTTCAACTCTTTTAAAGGTGCTGTATGTAAATTTTTGACTCTTCTAAAGCATAAAAAAACATAATATGTTTGTAGATATTTAAGAAACATCCTAAGTTAACATACTTGTTTATCTGAAAAACAATCCTGAAGTCAGATAATCTGCTTTGAAAATGTCTGTTACGTGCCGGAACGTCTGTCTTTGTTTTGGCTCTTTTAACCCGCCCAATGCCAGTTTAGTTAATTATATTTCAGCACCCCGGGTTGCCTTGTTGGAAGGCCGCGTATTTCATTCATTCAGTCAGGAAGGCTCTCAACGCATGCGTCCGTAACTGAAATGCGACCTTCGATGGACAGTAGCAGACTCCAAAATGAGACGCAGATTTAAAGTTTCTCATAAGGTTATCAATGAGCTAATAATATAAATGTTATAAATTAGGTTAGAAGGTTACATTGTAACCCTGTGTCCTAACAACACGCAACGTGACAAAATTTGCAGTGATAAGCAATTTGGCTTTTTGCACCAGATGAAACATGACAGAAATTTAAATGCAGCTATTCAGAAGCACTGAATATGAGCTAACTCACAAAATGGTCAGGTTCAGAGATTAGAGGTGATCTATCTGCTACTGCTTTCAGTAGTATGGCAATAAATTAAATGTAAAATGACAATTAAACTTACATTATTAGTATTTACCACTGAATAAGGCACATGAGGTGTACCTGAGGTGATCATTTTCAGTTTTCTGTTGTTCAGCTGCAAGAAATAGAAGCTGTATCTCATATATCAATTTGAGGTGTTGGTTAGAACAAAAACTCCTTTTAATATGGAGAATATTCCTTCTATCGCATGTCGTTGCTTCTATTTAGAACACAACTTCAATCAGCCTTTTGGCTCAATAGTCAGGCACACTCCTGTTGATGTCATCAATCTGGCAACCTGCGTTTTTGATTCAGGAATGCAATACATTGTTCAACCCCTGAGTGTCAAACTTGCATACTGCACCTTTAATATGTAGTTTAAATAAGCACCAAAAGTCATTTTTTGAGTAAAAAATGTAAACATCTCAGTAACTTTGTTTTAGTAAGCCTTTCTCTGCAAGTATGTTAGATTATGAGGTTTTACAAGGAACTGCAGAGATTTCACACTTCTATTGAATTCTATTTTATTTTATATTATGACTCTTCACGTTTCCACCCACAAAACCACTGCAGCAGTCCCATTTCTTTTTACTCAATGTAACAGCTGAATATTGACAACGTTTGTGCCACAAAAACATTACAAATGTTCTGTTATTGGGTAAACCAACGAACATAAGAGTGGTTGAATTTCATTTTTAAGGAGATTATGTGACAAATTATGTAAATTGTTATAAATATTTGTGGGGGGGTTGGTCGTTGTTGAATATAAATGAATTCATAACGAATTAATTAATTGTAGCCTACCGTTTTCGCTACCTGACCCACATGGTTTTTGCTTTACCCATAACCATACCATAAAAAAATGATGGCATCGTCTATCGGCAATACCCTAGTTGGCAGTTCATTCCACTGTGGGGACCACTTAAAAATGAGGAACTAAGCCGAAGGAAAATTGATGAATGAACAGTAAATTTCACAGAATAATAAATGAATTGTGGAAGGGCTGAACAATATTAAGTTTGAGCATTGATATCGCAATGACTGTATATCCGCAAAAGTCACATTGCAGGATTTCATTTTTTATTAAAGTTTAAAGGTATTATTAACTATATATTTATATAATTTTATTATTTATGCAATTATGATCATGACAAATTACAATTTGATTGTTCAATTTCTGTCATTGAATACTGTCACACTCCCCAGAAAACCATACAGCACGGTTTATTTAACTTTTATTTTTGCTCTGCCGAATATATATATGCTTGTAATTTATTATATTTTATACAGATACACTGCTTAGAAAAAGACTTGATCATCCCATTGGTTCCAAATTAATGAAATCTTTCTAAAAAGAGCTATTCAAATCATCTGGCGAAATTCTATTCATATTTATCGCCACAAAAGATAATTTCACTATGTCAGATTTTTCCATTATCCTGCAGTCCTAATTGATGGTTTATTTTAAACTGAATCATTACAGACACATTCTGAGAACACCCGATATATTTATTTGAATTTGAACTATGAAAATAAGTCCCCTTCTAATCAAATTCATTTTCCAAGTGGCATTTTCTAAATATATTCTTGTCGCAGTGGGCAGTGTAATTTGTATTTGCACATTGTTAAAACCAAGCCACATTGGCTCAAGGGAGTTTGTGTAATGTCAAGTCACATTACAGCGCAGGAAAACCTCAGTCTCAAACACGCCAAGCTGCTACTTGCCGTCAGATGAGATTCATGGGATCGGTTCACACACAAGATTATTATAATATTTTTTTTACTCCACCCTTAGTTTCGAAATGCACTTTCCCAAGTTCCCAGCAACTGTATTTGTGACTCGTGTTTGTGATGTTGCATAATGAGATGACACATTTGTGCAGGTCAGAGAGAAGAGGAGCTGCAGATGCCATGGCCTCAGATGCAAGTCACATGTTAGAAGCCGCCTTGGAACAAATGGATGATATTATTGCTGGTAAGAGAAGAATTTCAGTTCATTTCAGGCTGATTTGAAATGCTCCGGATGAACTCCTACATGAGTTGCAGTCTTCATTATGTTAAAAAACAAATAAACAGCTGATCCACTGTTAGATTAAATGCATTGTGTGTTGATTTGCATAAAAAGGTTAGCAGTCTTCTCCTGATTGGCTGCTTTTCTTGAAGCGATCAGATAAGGTTTTGCTTCGATACAGTGTTTTTTTTTTTCTTCACCATATCTCTTGATCTCTGCATGCTAATCGGATTCCCTCAACACTGCATGTGTGAGGCTTTTTAAAAGGATTTCATGGTGCTGGACATTTTGAAAGAAAAGCATTTGCCAAACAAAGGTAAAGCTTTCAGGAAAAATGTATTGGGAGCAGAGTTGGGCAGGTTCCTTTAAAATAGTAATTAGTTATAGCTACTAGTTTCTTCTCACAAATAATAACTGAGTTAGTAACTAGGTTACATAATTATAAAAGTAACTAATTAACTGGGAAAGTAACTATTGCGTTACTTTAAAAAAATCTAATTTGGCAAATGACAATAAAATAAATATAAACACTGTACACTAATTTACACTATTTTAATGTTGTGAGACAATGTGAGAGACAAATTCAAGAAAATCTATTAATGAAACAATTTGAATTGAATATTAGCAAAATGATTATATTTACACCACCAGCACTCCTATTAGAGGTAGACTGGATAAAAATGGTGCTATTTGCAAGTTTGTCTTCCGGAATTAATAACAAAAGAAAAAAAAAAAGAGTGGGAGAGTTTAGCTGACACAGTTAACGCAGATAGGTCTAAACATAGCACTGTGAGTGAATTAAAAAAGAAATGGTCCGATGTAAAAGTGTAAAATTTTGTAGTTTCTATTTAGGCTAAGTCCAAATAGCACACCTTGTTGGAACGAGCTAGTTGATTCATTTCCACCCATCACCGTTTAATTGACAGAGACAACATAATTAAAGACAGCGGCAGACGTGAGTGGCGTAGTTCGTAAAGTGCATGGCAGCATGTTTTCATCTGATTTTTCCTTCATCAAGAGGAAGACAAGTAGGAATCATTAATAAGTGAGTGTGTGTTTTATGTTAAGCGCATTTGAGCATCACATATTATTTGCACATTTATTGAATGGAAATGTTTCCGATTAACGTATGCAAATTCGTCTTCAGATGGCGCCTTTATAGCAATGTGCGTGCAGTATCGCTCCGATTACATTGGTAAAACCGGCTATTGCTGCAAATTGCGATTTAATGTTTGGCTGGTCACCTGCATGGTATGGAAACCTTATATACCTGCTAGACATGGGTATGATCCCGTCCCATACAACTGCCATTGCACGGCTCAAAGATACTTTGTAGTGTGCAATTTAACATAATTGCCTCTAGGAGTCGCTAATGGAAATAAAATGAAATGCACGTACACCAGGCATGAAGTTGGCGTGGACTAACACACATTCTCATGTTCATTTCCTGGTTAGTAAATCGAAATGCTTTGATACATGAGGCCACTGGTCATTTGTGTGTGCACTGCATGTGCGTGTGCTTATATAAACAACTGCTCTACTCTGCCTTTGATTGGCAAATGATGGAAATGTACTCTATAAGCCAATCATCACATTTTCAGTTAAATCACGTTCACAGACACACCAGTCATCATCGAAGCCCCGAACACACACCAGAGAGGTCCTATGACTGTGCTATGACAGTGTTATTTAATTATAATAACGCACATTTTATTTTCAGTAACGGTAATGGCGTTGTAATGGGGGAAACAGTAATTCATTTGATTACTTATTACTGAATAAAGCCGTTAGTAACGCCATTTATTTATAGCGCTGTTATTCTCATCACTGATTGGGAGTTACAATTCAAAGTGATAATTTGTTTAATTGTATAAAATAACTTTAATTGGTAAGTGTTACAAAACAAAGACATCAAGTGGAATATTACTGTCATATTTTATATAGTCATTAATATTACAATTTATAGAATATTGGTTTATAATTAAATTTGTTTAGATTTTGTCTTTTGACTCAATATTATTTATTGCAAATTATTTTTGCAATTAATGTGTATTTTTTGTGCAATAATTTTTTTTTTCTTAAACTCATTAAATAAAATGTTTATTTTTTAACGTTGATATATATATATATATATATATATATATATATATATATATATATATTTAAATAGCAAACATGTTTTTTATTTTATATTTATTATTGTATCAAAATACAATCATTTAAATGTATTATTTTGTGTTTAAATGTTTTTGTTGATGTTTTATTTTATTGTTTATTACTGTATTTAAATATATTTCAATTTATTGATTCATGTAGCAGTGAACATTCTGTAGTAATCTTTATTACAAAACATTCTTGCAATTAATGTGTATTTTTTGTGTGAAAATTCTGTATTAATATTTATTATTACAAATGATTCTTGCAATCAAATTGACTTTTTTTGTGGTGCTGTAGGTAGTATGATTGTCTCACAGCAAGGAGGTCACTGGTTCAAGCTCCGGCTGGGTCAGTTGGCATTTCTGTGTGGAGTTTGCATGATCTTCCTGTGTTCGCATGGGTTTTTTTAGGGAAGGAGAAGGTTGGGTCAGTCGATCAGTCAGTCAGTTATTTAGTCAGTCGATAGTCAGTTATTTATTGTTAGTCGATATCCTCTGGTGGATTTACGTGTGAACAGCAGGCACGAATGGCACTCGGAAGAGAAATTTCACATCTGAAAAAGCATACACAGCAGCCTCTGATGGATTTGAGAAAACAAAACTGCAAAAAAACATACCTCCTACTATGTATTTGCTGCTCTCCAGAAATGTATATAGTGGTACATTTTCAGAATGCGCCTTGGTTGCGTTATTTGTTTGGATTTTGGGGAAATATTTATGTAATGTATCAAATTATTAAGGGTGTCACGATTTCGATTTTAATCGAAAATCGCTCGAAATTTATGCTCGATTTCGATTATCGTATCAAAAAATAGAATCGTCGATGCTGCCACGCCCCCATGTCACGTCAGCTTGGCTTGCCAAGCGGGAAAAAAACACGCTTGTTGAAGTGCTTGTTAAACTGTGCAGACGCAGGAGACCCATCAACAGAGCTTAAACCTTCAGGGCTTGACAGCGTGCGAGACGCTCGGGCCAGTGCTGCCTTGTTGACTGACAGATCGAGCCAGAGCTGCGTGCTGCGACAATTGTGTGCAAATACAATCTTACGGTGCTTTCACACATAGTTTGTTTCGGAATCTGTCTCGTTTCCCCCGTTAGTTTGTTTGGCATATATCGAGCAGTTGCACTCGCATCCGCGCCAAATCAATCAGTCCAAGATTGCCTGAATGAGACGGTCTGTGCCCTATTGAGCGGATCGATTGTAGTGAGAAAACAAAACAATGCAACGAACTAACGACCCAGGCTATATCACAGTGTATTATGATCGTGTAATAGCCATATATACAGCTATATGAAGAGAAAACGATGAGCAGGGCGAGATGTCATTCTTACCGGTAAATGCGAAAGTGAAAACATGCTGAAATATTACCGAGAGCTGTTTATCCAGCCTGATCTCGGTTTATCCGTCAGGAAAATTGACCGAAATTACTATCTGTTCATTTTTCCATATTTTAATCGTATAATATGTTGTATTAGGCCTGTTGTTTTGTTCATTTCCGCACTGACAGCTCGAAAGAAAGATTTACATTGATCTGATGCAGTCTCTGTTCATCTGCTATGTCTCTCTATATATTAAGCCTATCATGCAGAATTCTAGTCAACGTTTCTTTAATAGATTGATTAATTCAATAGATCGATTTTTACAAAACCTGAAAATTGAAATGAGGCTTTGTATAGATGAGAAAGTCTGACCTCTGCTTTATATTCGGTGACGATGTCTGTGGGTTGTTAAAATTAAAGTGCACATTTTTGCTTCTAAAATATTCTATACACAACTGGTCAAAAGTTTGGGGTCAGTATGATTGTTAAATATGTTAAAATAAGCTTCTTCTGCTCACCAAGGCTGCAATTATTTCATCATAAATACAAATTGTGAAATGTTGCACTATAAAATAACTGTTCAAAAGTAGTTTATCATTTAATTTATTCATTTATTCCAGTGATTTTAAAGATGAAATTTCAGCTTCATTACTCCAGGCACGTGATCCTTCAGAAATCACTAATATTAATTATTATTATATTTATTAATGGTAATAGTAATAAAAGCAATAATGTCTGGAGTGATAATTTTATTTGAAACTACATACAATAACAAAGCAGTTATTTAAAATTTTGATAAATATTTAACAATTTAACATTTTTTTACATTTAATAAATGTAGCCTTGATGAACTGAATAAGTTTTCTTAAAAATATTTTAAAAATTACTGTAAATACATATACAGTGGAAGTCAGAATTATTAGCCCCCCTTTGTTGTTTTTTTCTTTTTAAAATATTTCCTAAATGATGTTTAACAGAGCAAGGAAATGTTGATAGTATGTTGATAATATTTTTTCCTCTGAACAAAGTTTTATTTGTTTTATTTTGGCTAGAATAAAAGCAGTTCTTAATTTTTTATTAACCATTTTAAGGTCAAATTTTTTAGCCCCTTAAGCTAATTGTTTTTCAGACTGTCTCCAGAACAAACCATCATTATACAATAACTTGCCTAATTACCCTAGCCTGCCTGGTTAACCTAATTAACCTAGTTAAGACTGCTTCAATCTTTTAATTTCACACTAGTACTTAGTCATTTTAGCAAACACCTCAGATACTGTTGGCTGGTTCCTGTTGGTTGTGCACCTTTTTTTACCGACGCCATAATAATGACACAGATCACTGCCTATTCACAAGAAAAAAGTGATTGACAGGTGGTAATTATGTGTGTAACTTGCCTTTATTCATTTACTGTATGATTTGTTTATGGGTAAAACAAAGACCATACAGGTCAGGTAGACAAATAATTAATTTGGCTACAATAACATACAG